CTTTGTCTTATCTGCTCCCTCTTGTCCCTTGCCATGATTTCTTAATAACAGAAATGGACAGGAAGATAAATTTTGGGAGCCGAAGCTTAAAAGGAGATGGATGAATAGAATATGAAGTCGTTTCTCACTTCTCCCTTCCCAGAGCCCCGGGAGAGGTGCCAGCCCCCAGCTCCTTCCTTGGCAAATTCTGGTTCTGCTGCCCACTGCCCTGTTCCCAGTCCAGAAAAACTTCACGACCCCTCAGTGGCTGGAGGAAGCACTAGGAAGGATTGTCTGCCTGGGATACTTAATACTGCTGGTCTTTACTTATGCTCCTTTCCCTACACCACAGTGACATTGCCTTTAATTTCTTGACAATGGGCCCTATTTCTAAACTACCATCCTCCCAGGTGTTTGTGTGTGAAGCAACCGGGAAATCCAAACTCACACACAAGGCTTCTATTTTGATCTTACATCTTAAGTCAGACGAATGGCTTGAAATCTGGTGAGGTGCATCTTTGCTCAAATTTCAGCTTTATCCAACTAATTTGCTGAACTGATGGGTGATTTCTCTTAGTATGAGGCTGCAAAGCTGACCAAAGTCCCTCTAAATCTCAAACCATGCAGGAGACAAAGAAGTGCATCATATCACAAAGCCAAGATAAATTTTCACTGTCTTCAAGGAGTGATTTACAAAATATTGAGGGAAATAGCTCTGGTATTCTCTTTTCTCTACAAGAGACCAGAAAATAGGCCTCTCAAAATATTCAAACATACTCCTAAATCCAGAGGAGCTGAATAGCCAGAAGCAGAAGCAGAATCTGCTGAATCAGAGCTACAAGTACAATATATTTAGAATACATATAAGGGAAGAAACCATAACTTTATAAAAGACCTTATGAAAAATCTTTTAATAGGGGTTTTAGTATATTTTACCTTTCAGTGCAAATGACCTAAACAAAACTCAAGCATGTTAGCCTTCATATCCTTCCTGTTATGTGAAACATTGTACAAAAATGACATGTTGATGAAGTTTAAAGTTTAGGCTGAGACTGAAGCTGTTGGCCCAAACAGTTCATATGGCTCTGGTGTTACTTTCAATGGTGTTTCTTTTCAATTTTTATGGTAGAACACCCAATTAAGAGATATGTTTTATTATCTCAATTGAACCAGTCAGAGACAAAAAAAGCTATTACATTTTTATTTAGGATCAGGAACAGGCCTGGGTTATTGTTAGTAACATGGTAAAGATTTAGCAGTACGAAGTCATTCTGCATAAGGACAAAGCTAGAGCTCCTTTCATACTGAGCAGTAAGCACACTTTTAGCTTTACATAATACATTCAACTGTGTGGAAAATTTCCCTGCAAATATCCATGTGCAAATGTGTTGTAGGCACCAACAAACAGGAAACCACCGTGTTACAGGATCATGGCTGTGATAGGGGATCCTGACCAAATATATTCATGGATATAAACTGAGCCCTTCGAAATCCAGCTCCAGGAAATATTTCCAAAGGCAAGGATAGTTTCTACTGTATTTCTCAGCAAGATCACCTCTGAAGTGCTAATTATGTCTGCAACTATTTCCAAATACTTACCTGCTAGAAACTGTGCACAGACATCCCCTCTCTCTTTTCCACCTCTGCACATACCTTTAAGTCAACTATACCCTGCAAATTCATCTCCAGATGGTACTGGCATTTGGACAGAAGGTTTGGGCCCCAGTTTGGCAAATCACATAGTTACATGTCTACACTGACTTTTGTTAGACTATCTACATGCTTAAAATGCAATAAGTCAGTTAAGTGCTTTTACTGGACAGGGAATGCTGCATACATCATATCATTACCAACTCTTAAGGTATCCAGTTTCGCTCAGGCATCCAGTTTGCTCATGCAGGCAGTGTTTTAGACTGGATGATGGGATTAAATAGTCATCACAATGTATGTAACAGGTGAGATGATATTAAATCCCATTTAAATTTGATGTTTAATTTTCTGGAATCAGTTTCAGCTCCCCAGTGCCCTGGAGTACAGTCAGGGCTGGCTTCCTGATGTTTTGGAAACTTTCAGCTAGAATACTCTGATTTAATGACTGAATATTTCCCCCTTCAACCTATTACCATAAGTTTAAATGCAATAAAAGCTTGAAGTGCTGGACTGGATGATAGTTGCAGCACAGCCTCGACAATCCTGATCAGAAATGCTGCGTTTCATGCAAAATAAATAATAAAATATAATTATCTGAAGGTATGTGTGTACACCTTACCTGTACACAGATACTACTCACCAGATTACAAGTATCTTGAAAGAACCTTTTTGAAATTATGGCTTTTGTGTAGCTTATATGTGATGATGTAGTGGCAAAACAACAGAATACATATCATCAGCAGGGAATGTTTCAGTTTGATTTCAGCACTGTTTTGCCTTTACAAAGCCTACTACATTTTTTCCCTAGACACACAATAACATCCTTCCTTCAGATCCATATTTTCTTCATCAGTACTATTTCAACTGAAAGATATATCAATTCACCTACTATTCAGCTTTTAGAGCTATTTAAAATCCAATAGGATTACAGTATTTTCTGTTTCTTCCCCATCTATAGGCTGCTTTTATTTTCCAAAGAACTGCTTATTCTGTTTGTGTGGGAAATAATATAAACAAGATCAGATACTTCAAAGCATTAAAGGAAAATATTTATTTCTATCATATTTCTTTATGGACTTTCATTAACATAGACAACTTAGTAACTGGTAAATAAAGAGTTGTAATACTTACACAAATTTCTCTGAAACACTTCAATTTTATTTTCAGATACAGAAAATTAAAACAATATGGAGAAGGTGAGAAAAAAGCAGAACTATAAACTACTTTATTAGTATCCCACAAAAAAAGACATTCAATGTCCTGTAGTCCTTGCTGTTGGGGTAATGAAGTTATGCTTCTCTGATTCCATTGCACTGCTATGACCTCAGAAGCAGAGCGACTTTAAAATGGTGGTGTGACAGGCACAAGAGAAAAACACTAAGGCTGTTATAAAAGACTATTTTATTATTGTTATAAGTGCTAAATATCATATCATTAGTGATCTGCTCTCATTCAAAAGGCCAGGCAAGGGGAAAAGAAGAAAAGAAGACAACAGTTGTAACTCAGAAGAGAAGGGGACGCATGCAGACACTGATTGGAACAGTGAGCTAACAAACTTGCACTTAGCACAACCATAGTTTGATAACACTTGATAAGCCACCTTTTGTGTAAATTGTTAATTGAATAATTCATTTTAAATGACAGGGCCTGTAGGTAGAGATCAGGCTTCTAATAGACAAATTTGTACAGCTGGGAAAAGTAGATAAGCTTTTCAGATCTGAACAAACCTTTTATATACTGAAATCTTTTTTGCACCTATCCTTCTGAGTTCAATTAAGATATTTCTTTCACTCATAAAGTTTATCTTGAGTATTCCCTCAGAGTACTATGGGTACAATAACACCATCACAAATGTTTTGTGATGCATTTGCTATGTAAAACTTTGGCTTTAAACTATTAACAGTGATTAATCTCCTTTTCTGTATCTAATTTAAACATGTCCTCTTTCAATGTCAGACTCTATGGGACTTGCAGATTTCATCTGATGGCAGGAGAAGACAGACCAATACCTCAGTTCCCAGACTGGGAATGTGGAGTTCAGACTTACTCTGGTGAAAGACATTTTCTTCATTCCTGTGTCATGAATCCTGCAGTGGGTTGGCAGATCACGGAGTAAAGTCACTAACTGCGACCTCCACAGTGCTGCTAAGAAGTGAATAAAAGTCTCATTGGAGATGTGTCAACAAGAGGGAAGCTAACTGTAAGTGTCGGGAGGTGTATCCTAAATCTTTCAGATTCATCAGGTCTCTGAATAACAAGAATACTTTCTTGTTATATTTTCTTCACCCAACAGAGTGATAAGTGAAGTCCTCAGATAAGAGAAAGTGGGCTGAGAAGAGAACATGATGCAGATGAACCCACAATGTGGTGAATACAAAAAATGTGAACAACTCTCAAGAACACTAGATTTTTCAACAGAATTTTCTTCCCTCAAATTTTTTCTATTAGCTCTCAAGAATAAACTAATGCTGCTTGGTTACATCCTACTGTTAGAAACCTTGTTGATTAGGTATTGACAACAAGTATGCATTCTTCTACCCATCTTGAGATGAGGAAGAGTGCATCCTGGGCAAGTACCAAGTTCCTCTTGGCCTTTGTAGTGAGACCAGTGCTGAACTCTTTCAGGACTGAAAAAGTTGTCTCAGGGTTGTCTCACAAACGTGGATTTTGAGAAAAGAGAAGCAAAGATGTTTAATAATTTCCAATGACACACACTGTGATTCACTGCTTTGCTGGCAAGATTATGTACAAAGGTTAATTCAAAAGTAGTTTTCCTCCAAAAGAGCCTTTTATGTCTCTATGCTGACTCTGATTGCTGCAGAAGTGAGTGCCAGATGAGACAGCTGTAGATAGGATAAAAATCAATAGTTACCCCCTTCTGAGTCATCAGTAACTGATTCTCTTTTTTTGTGATTAGCTGACAGTTACCATGACTTCACACCATGTCAGATCCAAAATGCCCCCCGCTGTCATTCTATCTTCTTATTAGCAGAGGACTACAGTTTTTAAAGCCTACTTTTGTCTCCATCCATTTGAAGGCAATCTATGTACAAATCGTAGAAAAGACAATGTCACAATAGCAAAGAATATTTTAGCAGAGAATCCCTCTTATAGGAGCTCTTACCTTGGAAGCAGTGGTGCAGACCCTCTTACATCAGCTTGACACTGCTGTGATTCCAGCAATAAAGCCACTTCTGAGTTTCACTTTCATGAAGGAAGTGAAATCAGGCCTATCAATTACAACCAATAAAATCTACACATGCACAAAGAATTTTTTCTTGGGAGAAGAACCTTCTTTCAAAAGCTTGACTTGAGAGTGTTTTCAATGATCTTGACATCCCTTCTGCCATCCTGAATCCCATATTTTTGCATCACTGGAGATGCTTCTGGAAGTTCCCACTAAGCAGGATGTAGAGAAAGGGATTAATGCTGCTGCTGGCATAGCTGAGGCAAATGGAGATGTAGTAGCTCACTTAGAAGGTCAGAGGCAGCTGAGAAACCTGAAGATTCATGAGCTGGATCACATGGAAGGGGGTAGTGCTTACCACAAACATGCTGATCAGAGCAAGCACCATCTTAGTGAGCTTCATAACTCTTTGCCTGGAGATACTGGTGGTGTAACTGCAAAACAAAGAAGAATTCTTAGTCAAGGTGAGAAATTGATAGCATGGATTGAGTGTAGTAATGAATAGAAATTATTTGAGACCAAGCAGTACAAGCAAAGGCCACGTCTCGAGAGCTTCATTTTTTTTTTTGCTGTTTGCACATTATATTTCTTCGGCTATGATCCCATGCCACACACAGGAGACCCTGAGAATTGTTTTTGTGTATTTGATTGAATACTAACAAATTAATTAGGAGCCCCTGGTGGTCTAGTGGTAAGGGCGTGGCGCTATCACTGCCGAGACCCGGGTTCGATTCCCGGTCAGGGCCACTCCCGGGCAGGTGGGGCTCGTTAGCCCTTAAAGGCAACCCACCTACGTCCTAAGGACCTCGCTGCCACCGTCCAAGCTCGCTTGGCCCCGGCAGATGAACCTTAGGATTAAAGGGTGGGCTCAGTTCCGCGCACACTGTGTCTCACCTAAAAAATCCAACGCGCAGGCTGGAAGGTATAGAGACCTTCCCCGGATCTTCGCTCGTGAAGACTGGCCATTAACAAATTAATTAAAAATACTTACTCTTTTTCAACATGTGAGCCATATTGCTTTGCTTCCCTTTTCATCTCTGCATTCTTTTGCTATCAACTAGAACAGAAATATCCAGTTAAAACATGACTATTATGAGCTTAAAGAAGACTTAGAACAAAGAAGCAAACGATCCTCCTGCCTGAAGAATTAAGACCCACACTCAAATGGAAATCAGCTTCCTTTCCATAGAAAATTGGCATGAGACAAAATCCAAGGTATGTTGTCCTAGATCTAAAACACTGTGGCCAGGAGCTGCTCTCACTGAAACTAGGAATTACGTTTCATCTGTTTCAAGTGTCAGTTTTCTTTTATTGCTTAGACTTTGTCAGACTGTGAATAGTGGCTAGAGCTTAATGTGGGGCTTGGAGTCCCTTTTCCACAGAAAGGACAATGCAACCTGGACAACCTGCATCTGATACCGGCAGCCAGATTCTCCCAGAGTTTCCTAATCCCTGAACTGAGAGCTTGGAGCCATGAGATAGGCAGGTGTCCTCCTGCAGCTAGAAGTGCAGGGTTGAGTTGTACCTTTTTCTTGTCCTGAACTGAGGACTCCAGGTGTGACTTTCTCCACAATGTTTCCTTCTAAATGACTTATCTTGGCTCCTTCCTTGCAATCCTAGTCTGTTTCCTGGGAGCCTAATACAGTGTCTGGAGGACTGAAAGGTACATGATGCAGTGCCTAAATATTGTTTTAGGACTCTTCCTTTTGCTCTGTTACATATAAAGCCTTTAAAGACTGAGCAGTGTGAGAGAGGCATGAATAATACTTTACTTTCCCGCTTTCTTGTTTTGCTGATACGTCTTCCATGTGTAACAAAATTAAAATATAGCAAATAAATATATCAATGGTAAAGGAAAAAAGAAAGTTATAGTAAGAGAAAGTGTATACCTGTAAAACAAAACACAAAAAGAGTAAACAAGGCTGTCAGACAAAGACCATCTCATAAATGTAAAAATTTATAAACAACATCTTCCATAAAATGGTCTCTGATTTGTGATTCTAGATTAGAGATACGTCGTAACAGCAAGTACCTAGAACTGCAAGTACTTCTAAGGATTAAAGTCTTCGCTTCTAGGAATATGGCTGATTACAAGAGAACCTCTCAGTTTTACAAATTCCTTATGTGTGTCCTTTTTCCAGCACTTATATAATTAGTGAAAATTCTTCCAAGCACTTATGCAGGGCACAGTCTGATTAGCCCCTTGATATTTTTCTAGTCTGATAGTAGATCAGTGGTGACCACTTTCTGAGTACAGCTTTTTCAAACATTTTTGAATCTGGCATTCTGGGACCAGCCATAGTCCTGGCCAAAAGCTACTGGGTTCAGACAGTATGTGACAGAGGCTGAGGATTTCCATTGTCCTGGATCTTGGTATTGCATTGTGGCTGTCAAACTCACTGTGCTCTGTAAAGTGGTTTGAAGAGAGCTGCAGCACTGCCTTGTGATGGCTTTGAGGTGATATAACCACCAAGGCAACCAGAAACAATCACCAGCCGACCTCACTTTGGTGCTGCGCAGGTCAGCTGCCACGATTTACTATACAAATATCTGACACAAATCAGAAGATCCTTGTCTGTGGGTGCTGGTAACATGTTGCCTGCGAGACCTCGGGTTGTTGCTCAAGGTCCTGTACTTGCTTTTCATAGATCAGATTCACCAGCCTGCCAGAACAGGGTGCTTGCAGCACCTTAGTTGCTTGTTATTATTGCCCTTGGGCCCTGATTAGGAGCCATTGCATAAGATGAAGAAAGATTGGTATTTCAGTCTTGCCTGAGTATGAGTATGAAATAGATATTTTCCCCCTAATTATTCAAGCTTTGTAACAATCAAGTTCTTTCACTAAATGAGGTTAAAGTAATGGTCTTCATTTCTAGAATCTGCTGCTTGGGCGTATGGTATCTTAAAAAGCTATGTCTGATTTCATGCAGTTATTCTCAGTCCTCATGATGGTGACAAGAAATAACAAAAATCCTCTGCATTTGTCGTGGCAGAACTACTTTGTACCATTCCTGGCACAGCTAGCTCTCTTGTTTCACTGGCTGCCTCATGGAAATAGCTTCTGACACTGATACTGCTTACAGGATCTGTGTAATTGAGGGTAATTTACAGGCTTCTCAGGTTCTTAAAACTTGTGATTGCTCCTCTTTTACACAATATTTGACCTCTTAGTCTCCATGTAAGCACAGTGTAAGCAAGCTTTCAGCTGGCTTTCATTTTTTAAGTGGTGCAGGCAATGACACCTCTATGCAAAGTAACAGAACAAAACTATAACTATTTTTCAATTTGTCAACGAAGCTGTTTCCAAAGAATGAATGCTGAAGAAAGTTACAAAGAGGTTAAAAAAAAAAAATTAAAAAATCAAGAAACAAACTGTGAGTCAAAGGAAGTATTTGTGAGAAAATGAAGATGTGTAAGATGGAAATAGGATGCATGGGGGAGGCAGAGAAAAGTGACATTAGTCATTGACAAGGGGTAAGAAGTGTCCTGAATCAGCCCCCACTCTTCCCACTGGCTGCAAAGAAGAAGTCAGGATATTCCATCCTGTGCTGTGCACCCTGTACACCCTGTGAATCACCTCTCAGTCATGCCTACTACCTGTCATTAATGAGAGACTGAACTTTAGCTGTTGCTTACAACTGGGTGACACAAAAGCTCATTACTGCTTTCATGTTCTTCCCTTAGCAGGAAGATTTCAATGAGATCTCCGTTTTGTTTCAACTTGTTCATGCTCAGGATATATATACACACACATATAATATATATAAATATACCTGTGTATACTATGTGCACAAATGTTTTCAAAACAGATTCACATGCAAACAGATTTACTAAAGAGTCTGTAGATGATGTCTACAGTTACTTTAGGGAAAAAATATAAATTAAAGGAGAGAGAGTGGAAGAGAAGCAATAGGGGTTGCTCCAGGCAAAGATCCTTCTCTATGTCTCTGCTAGAGTGCAGTACATGGTTTTCTCTGTAAGGCTTTTTCCACAGTTTTTATCAGGACTCAATTCTTACCAGTTGCTCATGTCAACGAGGCTGTTGGTGCTGTTGAGAGCGTGTTTTGCTGAGGCTGCACACTGACTTGCTGTTAAGTTCTGGGCATGCATGTTTTGGGGTCCACTAATGTCAACCAGAAGCTTTGATCACAGAGTAGGAAGAGGGAGGGGAAGCAGGGGTGATTCTCACGCTGGTGGCAGTCACTTCCCATGAGAACCCCCTGCAACAATGCTGTGGGGTTTGCAGGTGCAGGGCTGGGAGGATAGCAGTGCAAGATCCGCAGCGTGGGAACAAGGGGAAAGTGCTGCCCCAGAGGCTCTGGGAAAGGCTGCCACGGTGGCTTGGGTGACCAGAGCTGCTAGCAGAAAGCCAGATACCCAGCTTGAGAGAGAGGGTTGTGAGCAGGGGAAAGCCTGAGGCTCTTAAGGCACCATGTGACGTGTGGCTTAATGGATGATATCGCCTTTGCTCCAAGGACCAGAGCCCAGTGCAGCCCAAAACTTAGCAACAGTGAATGTAACTCTTTTCAGTGGCAACTGCAGTCTAGAAGTTATCAGACTAATGCAGTTTTTAATGAAATAAAGGATGTAAATGAGCACAGAGGATCATTAAAAGGAGGAACACAACATGCAAAGGAGCCATCTAGCCTGGGATGGGTACCGAATCCACATCTTCCAGCTCTAGAAGTGCCCATCACTACCTATCTGTTGGGTGGTCCTGGCTTTTGCTGTGTGGATGTTGTTTTCCTGGATACATATCTGAATTTTCGAAGTATTGTCACAAAAATAAAGGGCAGGTTATAATGATGTCTTCAAATCTGGTCTGCATAAATGTGTATTTCCCTAAGTATTGTAAGATGACTTTTCACACTTTCTGGATCAATTATTTTCATATACTGCTAGGTTAATTTACCTGGGTTTCTAATTTCCATTTTTAATATTTGTCTGACCAAAGGAAAAAAATTATTTAATGAACTTAAAGATGAAAAGGAAATCATTAGGATAAATGGAATGAAAATGACACCACAAATTCAATTCAATATGAAAGTACATCATTCTTTCTCTTGATAGAACTAAGACTTATTCCAGCCTGTTGTTCCAAGTTACCCTTCCTCAGACAGTAAGAAATTAATCTCACCCTAAATGCTTATCAAGAAGCATTTGTCTCCATTCTTTTGTAGCAGACGGACTCTATTTGTTGTTTCATTTTGGATGTAACTTTAATCTTTCCTGTTGTCTGATGATAAATTTGTGAAATGAAGGATGAGTGCTCCATTTGGGAAAATGTGTTTTGAAAGTAAGGGCTAATTTCCACTTCAAGCAGAGAGTGGAATTTAAGGGTAGACATTTGTCCTCATCTGACAAAACAGTTATCAGTAATAAAAGTCTTTTGTTGGGAAAACAGTGAAGAATACTTATCTGAGACAAACAATAAGGGGATTCTCTGAGAAGTGTCTCTGACACAGAAAATGAGGGAAGGAGGCAGTGATGGAGCCTGCCGAGCTCCCAAAAAGTACAAGGCAGCAGGTATGTGGTGCTTGTTAGCCATGCCTATTACTGCATTCCTTTTGACCTTTCTGCCAAACCTGCTGTTACAATGCTGCCTGGAGGAACATCTATGAGACCAGCCACCACCAAAGTGCATGATCGTGAAAGCCAAGGTGACACATGGCAAGAGGAAATATTTCACAGGAGCACGTGCTCCTAGTTAATGTTTTAGCTAACTGCAAATTATCTTGTCTGATTTCTAGCAAAGCCATAAACATGCAATCGTGTTTCTGTTATGACTATTGGAAACGGAGAGAGAAAATACGTCTTAGAGATTAGATCTTTTCCTCACTTTTTTCTTCCTGCCTCTGGATGCATCTTAACCTAATCCTAGGGCCTAACATTATTACTATGTACTGCATGGGCTGCTCAGGAGATTGCACTTTTAAAAGGCTTTTACCTTTTCCTCTGGCTAGGGTGTGTGTAACTGCATGTGAAGTGAAGCAAGGAGTGACCGAAAATGGCATGTAAGGAATGAGTAAATGGATTATTCCATGCCAAATCAAGTGGTTCTGGTTCTAAATGACTGAAAGCCCATGACTTTTATAGAGTTACAACTCCACCCTACCAGTGATACTGCCTTGGTAAATATTTCTTAGAGCAATATTACAGCAATGGGCAAACCAATAACACATTTTCTCATGCTTGTCAGTCTTGGCTGCTCCAGATGCTTGGAACACCTGTCTGTTTCTTTTCAGCTGTCACAGAGCTACTTACTCCAGATTTATCTTCCCAGCCTCACTTCTCCATTAACGTGTCTGCAGCTGTAAGGGTATGGGCTAAATAAATGTTTATGCAGCTCTCAAAATTTATTGGTACCTATGCAACTTTTAGATTTCAGGAACTTGTTCAGGAAACTTTTCCACTGCACAGAGATGCTTTGTAAAGAGGATATTCGCAAAGAGCAATTATTTATTATCTATTTCAATAGAAAACAGACACCTAGGACTAGCAAACTCCTAGGCTAAGTGTTAGTGCTCTTACCACTTCTAGATGACACCACTGGGATCTTTGCTGGACAGATGTCAATGGGAATAAAGAGGCAACTTAAGATTCCCTGATTTTTGTTAATATTTAGACCTCTTTGTGCTAGTGTTTCTCTTCTTGAACTTGTGAGGGGCTGTCTCTGCCTCAACAATCTTGTCTTGGTCTTCAGTTTATCTCACATGGGTCTGCTCTAGGTTCTTTTGCACAGCTAAGGGCTTAGCAACTTTCTCAGGATTCTAAGATTATTCTAAGCTGTGCCATACCAAAAGTACACTTTAAATTAGAGGGAACTGAACATCTATGAAGGGATTATACCTTTTCCTATAACCAAAGTTTGTACTAAAATTAGTCAGAA